GGGGGGGGGGCCCAGGGGGGGCCCAAAATCTGCACTTATCGGCTGCTGCTTTTAAAGGCTGCTATTAGGCTACCTGAGACTAGTCTGCATTCATTCCCCCCCGCATGCGTCCGACCCATATCACTTCAGAAGTTGGTGCCACTACTCGCCGCATGCTGGTGCACATTTCAGCGCTGAAGCTTTGAGGCAGCTGCACCTGCCTGGCAATGCACTGGGCGACACCACGAGCCTGGCCATGTCGAGCCGACGTAATCATCGTAATCGGGGTCAACGGACAACTCTGTTAGCGCAGGCCATCGACAGCAGGACGCTACATGTCTCGGTGCTGTCCAATTATCAAGATACCTGCAGACTTTTTCGCGTCAAGGCAGCAAGCTCTTGTGACTCTTGTGCTTTAAAGGGTCGAAGAGTGAAAGGTCAATGGCTTCAAACATCTTGAGATGCCCAGCTGAATTCGGATGGCTCGCGTCGCGCATGAGACCATCCAACCACCTCGCACAAACGAAAGGGAAAGCTCGAGCAATCTGCTACATCTGTCTTCCAATGCTTCTATTCAGATTTCGGTGATGTCAAAAACTATGGTTCCGCACTGGCAAGTCCACAGCAGCTCTACGTGCACGAACCAACACCCGATCAACCCCAAGATCAGTGCCTCCCCTGCCCATCGTGCAATGCTCCCAGCCAGTCCAGCATCGGGACGGACTGCTTCGCACAGAAATCGTGCGTGTCCTCGTGCAGGTACGATGACCGACAGGTTGGCATGCAACGGTGTAGGCTAGAGAAACCTACCACTTAACCCTGTGCTGTGAGTGGGCCATAGCATTGATGACAGTACAATGCAAGAACTAGTTGGAGCAACTGGATCATGCACATGTGCAGTTTCCTGCATACTGGGCATACATGGCATGAAGCTTTGAATTGTAGATGAAACAAATAGAAATAGCTCACAAGTGGCACTTCGGCTGAAACGAAGGCAAAGTGGGCAAGGCTGCGACATCCCTGCCCGGAGCAAATCTCTCAATTTCATCGCCCTGCCATGCCCTGCCTGCAGCAGGACCAGTTGCTTCGGGTGCTTGTAGTCTCCATTTGGGTAAACTCCGCCCAGCACCGCTGTCGCTCCGATCTTCTCAGTTTCGCGTAACAACTCTCCTTGGCAGTGCATGGGCATGTGCGCAGCTATCGACGGCCCTCTCACTCTCCTTCAACTCAGGGTTGATATGTATCGACATCTTGTCGTCCCCGGCACGCGATTGTAAACTCGGCGCAAAAAAGTTTCACATGCCGAGTGTGCAATGCTGTTGGGGGCATGGGCTGCAATGACACACATTGCCCATCGATGGCTGCATGCACAGGCTCGGATGCCATTCTTGAAGCTGGCAGCAACCGCATCCCACTCGTCCTCCTTTTTCCAGGAGAGCCCCTCGTTTGCCAAGCTCAGAGAGATCACCACCTCAGCTGTGAAAACAACATAAGATAATCCTAAGATACCTATTTGTGCCATCACTGCCCATCACTTGTCCACAAGGTGAAGCTCCACGAGCACCCGTTCAGAACGCGAGCAATTCCGAACACCATTCTTCGAAATAATTTCTTGCAGGGCTCCATGTCTGGCTTCTGCGAAGCCACCAATCCTCGGCAGCTCAGGTTACAGATCCTCGAAGCATGTGCCGAATATGACGTTACAATTACAAGATTGTGTAAAACTTAGCATCGAGTACGAGAACCTGGAGATTCTCGAGCATTGCCTTCCCTCGAAAAGCTATCAAAAGTGATCCCACTCGCCACCTCACAAAACACATGCTTTGAATATGCCTCACCAGCCCGACAACCTGTGGCATATTTACCAGAAATGCTTATCATGTTCAGGACAGTCGTTACTCCGGCCATGCGTCTCGTGAAGTCCTGCAGGAGACGCTCAGTGTTGTAGCCTCAGGTTAGCTCTTCAGCAAAATGCCGGATGGCTGAGCTCCATCGCAAGTTTTGCCCAAGGATCCATGCACGGCGACATTGAGCGTCCTCGGTTTGCAGCAAGTCATCCGCTTCCACACTTGGTCGAAGTGCTCCCGGAAAGCTAGCAAGGCATGATCTATTAATAGACATCATCCGAAAACCCGAAGCCCTCTAATCCTCGTTTCGATGCAAAGCGGCTGATGGCCGAATTGAGCCTCCAAGCTCTTTGCCAGGAGCCAGGCCCATCCTTGATCCTCAATAACATGTCAACAAAGCTAGTCATCAAAACCGTTGCTACAAGGGTTTTCTTTATTTAAGCTGCGGAGATCTGCGGAGTAATTATGGCAATAAAGGCAATGGTGCCACTACAGAAGAAGAATACGATCATCTTGATTACCACAATAGCCTGCACCAAAATAAGTCCAAAAGAATATCATGACCGTCGAGGTGAGGGAAGAGGTTCTGACTTCTACTGCTATCCAACGAAGCCTCCGCGACAGATCCCCTTTAGCAAAAGGCACAACCACCGTAGCGCCTCCTCTGCGGCTGTCCCCGCAGCGACTGAGCTGCCGCAAATGGCAACCCGCAAACCGCCTGGCCGTGGTGATTCCAGAAGAAAAAGCCGAGACAAGTAGCAGCCGGAATCCAGACTCAAAGTGACTCAACTATTTCCCAATGCTGCTGTTCTTGCAAATGCTGATGCCGACGTTTTTTGTGCCTGTCTGTGGCGCAGGGATCGCCGGGCTTCTTGGGCCAGGCCTTGGACATCACTCGGGCGATTTGTGTTAGCAACACGCCGTGCAATGGCCAGTGAGCTTCAGGCACCTGAAAATCCAAGGTACAAATCGGGAGGCAGTCTTGGAAGCTTGCCGAACTCTCCTGAGATCTTGCTGGCTGACATGTAAACCTCCCACACAACGAGGCATGAGGTGGCAGCAAACTGTGTGTGCTGCCATGTGCTGCCCATGTTCAAACTTCCATATCCTTCAAACACATGATCTGCGCAACTCGATGCTTGACTACTTCATACTTGGTCCACGCTCGGAAAACTAATGACCAAAAATACAGCGGTACAGCACAGAGCCGAGAAGCCGTCATCAACGTCGAAGTCGACACCTGCCGCCAAATATGCCATGTGACAGCGTGGGCCATCCGGTCTGTCGTGGCATGTAGTGGAACAAACAGCGCAGCATGGCGTGGCAAGTCGTGAGGACGGAGCAGTACTTGGTGCACGAAATGTCGCAGCTTGCTAGAATGCAGTAGCATGGCGCAGTGTGTGGGCGACAGCACGAGGTGAGACTTGCCTGGCACTGCCATGAGATTGCGATTGAACGGCGTGACCTCCCACTCAACCGAGCCATCCTCCGCTTGGCCAGGGAAATAGCCACACTCTGCGGCTGGAGCATTGACCAGTCATACTCAGAGAAGCACACTAAACTCGACGATCCTAATCGCCAGACTGATGAAGAATGATGGAATGGTTCATATGCTGCCAGGTTGCTTTCAACGACACTCGAACACCGCACTTCTGTAAAGCACTCAACCCCGAGAAAAGAGAGGCAACTACAGCACACTCACCTGCTGCGCCGCGTCATTACACGGCAACAAAGTTAAAAAAACGCTGCACCACATGCATGCGAACATGTCTCGGGCTGTTTAAAATAATGTCTCGGATTGTTTTATTCGAACAAAAACGCTTTGTCAGGCTTGCAGGGGCATGTGCTGACATGATTCGGACTGAAGGGTCGCCGGCTGGGAGGGGCCAAGTTTGTTTGCCGCACTGTTTCGCTGGCTGCCGGCGCTTGCCGGACTAAGGCTTGGCTGAAAGAAGTGCTGCCTACATAACTCCCAAGGCTTTGTTGCGTTCTCGCTGCGCCTGCAACGTACAAAATTATCCTGCGAACGGTATGCCATGTGTACGACGAGAGGGAGGAATCCTCCACATGCATGCCTAAGTGTCTTAGCTGTTGATGTATCGGGCCACAAGGCCTTCGAAATCTGGTTAACAAAAAGACAGCGGCTGCAATTCCGAAATAGCTACAGTGGCTTCGTGACTTTTCAGGTTGACAGCTCACGAAAACCTGCAGACATGTACCCTGCACCTGGCAAACAGAAGTGATGAACCCTACATTCATTGGAAATGTTGGCACATTCTGAGTACGGTCCTCTCCGAGCTTGATGTACTTATACCTCAGCTTGCTTGCGCTCTACACTCTGCGCAGGAGAATGTTGGGATGGATATCTTACCTCGGCTGCTCCATCGCGCATGCCTCTACTCTCGCTTGCACGACAAGATGCTCGAAGTACCGATAGCCTTAGCAAAGTAGGACAACGGCAAACCTGCAAAGCGCTCGCACACGACGTTCATCTGCACGGCTCGGCTTAAATGTGCCCTTAAAGACGAATGAACTGTTTTGTTTGAGCCGGGAGACCGTGGTCGCTCAAGTTGACTGTAGCCGTCCACCTTGGCACCAGTCTGCCGAAAAAGTTCACAGCCAAGTCGTGGGGACTGTGCAACGTGTGCACGATCGGAGCTCGAGAGGGGCACCAACCAGATCTACGAACACAGCATGCAAAAACAAAACGAACAAAACAACAGTCACACATGCATGCACATAGGCATGCATGCTGGAGAGGCGCATACACAAATAGCTAGATAGCCAACAACAAACAAATTAAGCCAGCGGGGACACAAGAAAGCTGCGCGGAATTATGCACCTGTATGCTCAAAGAACACTGGTTCCGTGGGCCGGTAATCGGGCGGTGCACTGGCGCAAGCCTAGCTCATCTGCCGTTCCGCCGTGTGCGGGGAAAAGCTCGATGGCCTGCAAAGGCAGTCTCAGCAATAATAACGTATGTATGTATGTATGTATGTATGTATGTATGTATGTATGTATGTACATGTGTGTGCCCCATGCATGAATGTACGCATATATGTATGCATGTATGTATGAACGTATGTATGCATGTGTATGGGTATGTGTAGATATATATATATATATCTGTATGTATTTCGGGATTTGGCATTCCCAATTTTCGCTAAAACTGATCCGTCATCATGCCCATCGCAAGCACACTCCAACCCGAATCCCCTAAACTCCCTGCCTTCGGCAACTCCCATCCGCCTACGGCCGTGGCACCACCGATCAGCTTCAGCTGCTCGCCTGGATGACTGCCCGAAACAGCTGTGACAACTGGGGTTTCAGACAAAACCCTAAACCCTAAAAACGAATCCTCATGTTTATGGGATCTCGAACACTGCCCTCTGCTTGGGCTCCGAAGTCGTGGCTGCAGATTGCGTACTTGCTGGTCTGGTCCTACCTTCAAATGCTCTAGGACCAGCAAGTATTTCGTCCACTTCGCCCGGCAGGACGGAACGATAAACATATCAGATACAAGCAACTAACTGGAGGTGAGAAGGCCATCAGAACCGTGGAGGACAAAACAAGTTTCCATATCTCATGGGCACACTTTGTTATTACTTGCTGAACATAAGACCAACCATTGCTTGATTCTAGTCACCTGTCGTACCTGTTCCATGGAATAGCTGGGGTCACACACGCGCACACCCACCCCCCACCCACACCCACCCGCGCCCACCCACATCCAAACCCACACCCACACCCACACCCACACCCACACCCACACCCCCCCACACCCAGCCCCACCCACACACCCCCCACCCACCCCCACCCACCCCACCCCCACCACCGCAACCCCCACCCCCACCCCGCCCATCCCATCCCACCCCCACCCACTCACCCACCCACCCACCCATTCACCCACACGCGCACGCGCACTCAGACACAGACCCACAGAGACACACACACACACACACACATGTACACGTACACACCCGTACACGTACACGCACACACACACACACACACACACCAACCACACTTGGAAGAAAGCTGCTGTGAATGACCGGTCAGCCTTGCAACACCGGAAGCTAGAAATGACAAGCACAAGTCAGCAGGCATTCGTGCTGGTGTTGGTTCGAGACGGGACGGCCATGAAGCCAGCAATAGTAGATGCACTCAGGGTAACTGCACAAAGCAAAGTGCCTCACTTCCCAGGCTAAAGGAAGTGCAAACGACCGACAACATGGTTCGTTTCTCCAACCTTTTTTCTGGCTTCGTGGATGGGTGGGTGGGTGGGTGGGTGTAACAAAACACGCAATTCGTGCGCAGTTCTTCAGCTGCTGGTGATAGTTAATCTGAAGGTGCCAAACCTGTCGACCACAACGAGACTTTCAATCCTTGCAGCTTCCTGGATCGAGCAGAGCAGCTCGGAGCGGTATTCGCCAGAACAAGGAACCTGTACATCCAGGCGCCAGGTTCATGCGAGCCTGTGCGGTTCAGCTTTCGTTCTTGGACTCTCACACCCGGACTTCAGAGTCGCAGAGGTTGGGATGTCAAGTTTAATATCAGGAATTGCGAGGTGTGGAGAAGTTGCATCGGATTCTTGTGGACTCTGCAGGACCTGAACCCAGTGTATCCATTTGTTTGCACTTGTTCCGGGCTCCCGCTGGAGAACCTCATTTAGAACAATTTAGTCTCTGAGCTCTTTTGGATTCTACACGGCACCAGACAGGTTCAGGCAAACCTTGTCACCCTTCACAGCAGCTCGTCCGGCACCGGCTATTTCATGTCGCGGCCTCAGCGTCTGCTGCTGTGGTCCAACTGTGGCTGGCAGTGCTTGAGCCCAAGCAGCACAAATGCATGCGTCATAACATTCCGAATGGGGGTACGCGTGGTGGCATAAGATCGTTGCTCTCCACTCGGAGTTGAATGTCGTCTGTGCACTGGTCGCCCGCCCACACAGGTTCGTCCAAGTGATGCAAGCATATACACTCAGTGGTAGACACCTCCTGGGCTGCAGCGGTATGCAATGCATCAGCGACCATCTGTAGTCATACAAGAAGTTTCAGCCCTTGAGGATCTCGGATCACCATCCCTCAGGCCTGGTCGCGCTGCCGACGGAGCTCCATCAGCTCAGTGAGGCTCCCATTCCCCTGGCAGTGGGGGGTCCCTGAAGGTCGCCGGGATTTCCCTCTTGGGCTGCAGGATTCGGGGCGTTTCGCGCTCGGATCCCAGTTTGGGCTTCAGCCTCCTCGGCCACTACAGACTTGTGAGCCGCCTCGTCTGGAGCTTGCTGCAAGTCTTCTTTCGCCTCGAGGCACTCTGAAGCCACCAATCGCCGGAAGCTACACTTCCCAAGCTGAAGAATGACCCACAAGGGCCTTGTTTCCAGGTACTGAAAGCTACAACTACCAAGCTGAAGAAAGATCCAAAAGGGTCTTGTTTCCAGGTACTGCTGCGTTCGATGACATCTGAGCAGGTCGCTCCGCGCAGGTGCTTGCTAAGCTGGACCTTCAGGGAGGGCAAACTGTTGGCTTCTCCCCACACCTGTCTCACTTCGTCGTGCCCACGAATCTGCGGCCTTCTCTCGTTCGAACTCCTGCCTCTCGCGGATGAGGGCCTTTGGAGCTGCAGAGAGCAGGGACCGTGATCGTGTAGTTTGCACACTCAGCGGACAAGTGTAACTCTACAGGGCCAGGTCCCCATGTCAGCAAGGTACCTGTGTTCGGAGATCGCTATCTGTTGGTAGCTTCTGCAAAACATGCAGACTAAATACAGCTAGGTCGGACCCAGCCTTCCGAAACGAGACCTGACCTGGGTACAAGAGAACATTCACATAGTTACAAGGCAACCAGAACAACTAGAAAATCGGAGTGCTGTTGGTATTCAACCAGCGACCTTGAAAACCACTCGTCTGGAAATCTCTTATGCACGGCATACTTGCTCAGTTAGGCTTCCTCAAGACCTCCACTTTGAAAAGACGCCCCTTGTAGGTGATAACCGTGACATGTCTAGAGAGCTTCGCAACCTCGGAGAGTGCAGCCACCTCGCCACTAAGGGCCTGAACGCGGATGATTTCGGGCTTTGTCAGAATGGGGAGATCAGATTTTGCACTGTTGCAGCTTGGATTAGGGTTTGAGCTGTTGCGCTGCGATTTGTTTCGCAAGGGTTCTTCGATCCTTCCCGTCCATGCTTCGGTGTGGCCTGCCCCCTGGCTCCGACAGTCCCATTGCCGTCCAATCCGTGCCTTCGCGGCGCTTTGCGAATGTGCTGCACGCTCTGCCTGCAGCATGTGAGGAATCCATGGGGTAGTGACGGCTGATGTGCTAGAACGGGGCCCTACACGGGGGCAACATCTTTCTTGCCTCGGAACTCACCCTCATAAGGTCTTTGGGGCAGTGGCCCTCACACCCCGGCAACTGCCTTCAGCTGATCTTGCGCCACTGTCAGTCGAGCTTTCAGCACCTGCCCAACATGTGACGAGACCGCGCAGCGAAAGGTCGTACGTTAAAACACAAGTTTCAGTCGCACTCGCAGATCTTCAAGGCCGCTAGTTTCATTGAAGGTCCCTAACCCTCGCCCTGCGAAGCGCAAGCCTCCAGCTCTTCCTCCATGCGCTTCTGTGACGCAGCTGATGCTGCACCTGAAGAGGCGTTGATTGATTTGCCACATCCAGTTTGAGAACCGCCGATTTCACGTTCTGCGCTGGCAGTGCTTCGTCGCCTGCGGTATCGCCGTCCGCAAATGAGATGGTGGGCGCTACACCTTCGACACATGCACAAAAAAAACGACTCCCCAGAGCTTGGCCGAACAACTGCTGTTGGAGAACGCCGATGCGTTTCTCTGTGAAAACCTATTCCGATCACCCTAAGCAATGCAAGCAAAAACTCATCCAAACTCGCCTTCCTTGGGCCGTGCTCCTTGCGCTTCTTCATGGGAGGCCCAGGTCGACTCCGCCGCCGCACGAGCTGCTTGAGCCATGCTCGTGGCAGTGCCTCGAAGCGTCGGAGCCGTGGTTCGAACGAATCATGGGAAGTTATTCATGTTGAAAGTCGTGTCCTCCTCTTTCACGGAAGTCGTACATGCATGAGCAGCTCTGCGAGGGTGGATCCGAGACAACTGAGCAAGACTTGAGCAGCTATTCCACCCACCTGGCCCACCGGAAAAGACATCAGATTGTATCGATCATAACACGCACACCTGCCAAGATCTGCCAAGCTTCCAAATAGCCTCGTGGCCTTAGTTTCTTTACCGCTCGGTCTCTGAACAAGCCTGGTTGTCAATTCAACAAGCACTGGAAGCTGTAATGAGGCCTGGGCTGTGGAGAACATGGACACCGCCTGCATCGATGAGCTATCATGGCTTGCCTCGGCGAGGCAACCAGATGACTCGGGATCCAACCTGGTGGCCCCCATGAAATTATCGGGCACATGCTGCAGCACTGCCGCCCATACGATCACGAGCAGTGCGCTCATGCCTCTTGCTGCTGCTGTTGTTGTTGTATTGCAATGATGGCCATCAAAGAACACCGAGCTTCCGTAGCAGTCGTGTTCGTGTCTTTCATGTCGAAGTCCATATCTTCCCATCCGTCCGCACCTGGAAACAGCAACAAACATGTCGGCCGAGGACGACCAAGCAGAAGACACAGGAAACAGCACAACTTGCTCCGTTGTCCACACCCAGCTTTCTGACTGGCTATGGAACACCAATGACCATGCCGGCATCGGAAAAAACAGCTTAGTAAGGGGTAGAAGAGAAAGCTAGCTAAGAAGCACCATCATACATGTAAGCGACTGAAAAACAGTTTCTGACGTTGTTCACAACGTGCTGTTGCTGTTGTTGCCGTTGTTCTTGTTGTTGGTATTTTCCTTGGCAGCAGGGACACGCCACCGCGAAGGGACTATCGATTTCACGCCAGCGATGCGTCAAAACTCGAGTTTTGGCACAATGCAATTTAAACGCATTTTATTGCGATGGCTTTGCTTGCAGTGTTTGAGGCTTTGATTCTCTGGAGTTTTCTTGTTCAGGTTCGCATGCCTTTTGCATCGGCGTTTGTAGTGATGTTCAGTTCCCTGTTCTTGCTCGGAATGCGGATGCGCTTTTGTCTGTGGCGGCCGCTTTTGCTGCGCGGCTGCAAAAACTTGAATACTGTTCCGTGTCTTTCTTCGTGCTTCCGACGTTCACGACTCCTGCGGAGCCGTGAAGGCATGGACAGTCTTCGTAACTTTTAAATTTTGAAACCTTCTGTCTTGCGGTGGCCGTGTCTGGTTTTTTGCCGGGTTCTACAGATGTGGTCGGTCATTGCCGGTGCTGGTGATGGCGGTGACATCAAGAAGATGAGAGCATGAAGTGATAACTGCTGCGCCGGTGACGGCAATGAAATGATCTGATAAATAAGGTGGTGGTGATGATGATTGTGATGATGATGCTGATAAGAAGAGGGATGACGCCACTCACCTACCACGCCACTCCGCCTTGCAAACATCCGCCTTGCGTTTCGACTGTGGCTCGCTAGAGTTGCAGGTCTGTTTCTGTGATATGGCTCGGAGTCCTCAAGTTAAGACGTTCCAGCAATGGTATTACGATGCTGATGATGATGACGATGACGATGAGGAGCCTATGATTCTATGATGGTGTTGTTGGTTTCAAGAAACCCTGTCCTTGCTGCTGAACTGAATACTACCCTGTATCCTGCATTCCCTGAATATCAAATGCTCGAAATCACACAATTTTTGGGTTGTCTCTCAACGGTCGCACGAGAAGAATCTCGAGACCCACCGGTCCTGACGAAAAACAACAACAACATCGAGCACAACCACGGCATTTGCGACACTTCCGAAACACGCCCAGAAAAAACACAACAGAAACACTAACAACACACTCTGCAAAACATGGTCTTCTGCAAGGAAAACCGCATACCTCGAGGCTTTTGCGTTGTTGTCGGAAACCCTCCGAAAGAAAATGTGCAATCTCGAACGACACACCCTGCGCGGCGGGAGACACGCACGCCTTCGCGCGCGCTACCTTGCTGTCGTTGTTGTGGTTGCTGGTTGCCGGCTTTTGTTCTTCTTATTGTTGTGATCGTGGCTGTCGTCGCAGTCGCAGTGTTCGTGGTTGGCATTCTTGCCACTTTGTTGTGTGCACAGGTCATGCAATGACTTTATCTTCTGCTCTGGGTGCCTCCGCTCTCGGCCGGCCCATGGATCGCAGAAGGTGACGCCATCGTGGGCTCCTTGGCTCACGTGAAGCAGAACCTCGTGACAAAAAGACATGTTGGACGCTTTCCTGACAGCTTGTCCTGCATCTGCATATGAATCAACACCCGTCGAAGCCACTGGTGACGTTAGTCTTACATCATAGGCAGGGCAAGGCACGGCCGCTTTGGGCACGGACTCCTCGAAGTCGAAGTCATCCCAGCCCTGGCCTGACTGTCACAGGCTGGGACCTGTTTTTATAACTTTCGACAACCACTGGTTGGGGTCTCTAGAATGTCGGGGCCATGTCCACAGCTCGCGATGCTCGGACTGCCTTCGCTGTCAGCGGATGCCACCGCAGCCTTCGCTTTGGGCTCCTTGGCTTGTAGCAGTGCAATGCATGCATGAGGACTTTGAACACAAAATTACATAAATCCAGGATTCCAGAATTCTTCATACTCTACCGCACTGCCGCAAACCCCACAACTTCACAAAGGAGCAGAACCAAGCCTAGCACTACCCGCATACATCTGTTGCGGCCCTGAGAATCAGATCCAAGAATGCCTTTAGCAACAGACCTGTCGGCATCGAACACAGACACCTAACATGCTCCTGGCCAACTGCGCCTGTGCGCTGGGCTGCAATCGACCCAGCTACAAGTAGACGGAGCAAGGCACGGCCGCTTTGGGCACGGACTCCTCGAAGTCGAAGTCATCCCAGCCCTGGCCTGACTGTCACGGGCTGGGACCTGTTTTTATAACTTTCGACAGCCACTGGTTGGGGTCTCTAGAATGTCGGGGCCATGTCCCCAGCTCGTGATGCTCGGACTGCCTTCGCTGTCAGCGGATGCCACCGCAGCCTTCGCTTTGGGCTCCTTGGCTTGTATGCAAATCATGCGGACTTTGAACACAAAATGACAAAATCCACGATTCCGGAACTCTGCATGCTCCATCGCACTGCCGCAAAACCCACAACTCCACAAAGCGGCCCTGAGAATCAGGTCCAAGAATGCCTTTAGCAGCAGACCTGTTGGTATCGAACACAGACACACAACATGCTCATGGCCAACTGCGCCTGTGCGCTGGCTGCAATCGACCCAGCTACAAGTAGACGGAGCAAGGCACCGCCGCTTTGGGCACGGACTCCTCGAAGTCGAAGTCATCCCAGCCCTGGCCTGACTGTCACAGGCTGGGACCTGTTTTTATAACTTTCGACAACCACTGGTTGGGGTCTCTAGAATGTCGGGGCCATGTCCACAGCTCGTGATGCTCGGACTGCCTTCGCTGTCAGCGGATGCCACCGCAGCCTTCGCTTTGGGCTCCTTGGCTTGTATACAAATCATGCGGACTTTGAACACAAAATCACAGAAATCCAGGCGGAACTCTTCATGCTTCACCCGCTGTGGCATGGAACCCGTGGTCTTGCTTGGGTTCCTGGTCTCGCCGCTTCTTTGTCTCCCCCCTCCGCCGTGGGGTGGTGCCTGCGGTGTTCACGGTTGGTTCGGGTACACCACGGTCCTCTCTCCAAGCTTAAGTCTAAATTTTGTGTTTGCTCCAGCATGCCACCAGGCAGAAGTTGTAATCATGGCCGACTCGTCGCATGCTGTGCATGCTGTAATTTCACTGGATTGGGTGATGAGCAGCTAGCAAACTGCTTTGCCGGTACAATGTAGAGATAGCGGTTTTCCTTCTGGTTGCTAAATTGCCCTGAGCGTAGAAAACTTGCGAGAGCCAGGGGGGATGTGACATCGTGGTCCCAAGGGGTATGAAGGTGCGGGGGAAACGGAGGATCAATAGCATAACGGGGGGGTTGAGGAGTGTAGCAGCCCGGCACCCGGATGATACATCCTTGATCATCCTTGGCCCCCCTAAGAAATGAGATCCAAGACTGCCTACAGTATAGCAGGAGACCTGTTGGTATCGAGCACAAAAATACTCAGCATGGCCAACTGCGCCTGTTGCAATTCGACCCAGCTACAAGTAGACGGAGCAAGGCACCGCCGCTTTGGGCACGGACTCCTCGAAGTCGAAGTCATCCCAGCCCTGGCCTGATTGTCACAGGCTGGGACCTGTTTATATAACTTTCGACAACCACTGGTTGGGGTCTCTAGAATGTCGGGGCCATGTCCACAGCTCGTGATGCTCGGACTGCCTTCGCTGTCAGCGGATGCCACCGCAGCCTTCGCTTTGGGCTCCTTGGCTTGTATACAAATCATTCGGACTTTGAACACAAAATCACAGAAATCCAGGCGGAACTCTTCATGCTTCACCCGCTGTGGCATGGAACCCGTGGTCTTGCTTGGGTTCCTGGTCTCGCGGCTTCTTTGTCTCCCCCCTTCGCCGTGGGGTGGTGCCTGCGGTGTTCACGGTTGGTTCGGGTACACCACGGTCCTCTCTCCAAGCTTAAGTCTAAATTTTGTGTTTGCTCCAGCATGCCACCAGGCAGAAGTTGTAATCGTGGCCGACTCGTCGCATGCTGTAATTTCACTGGATTGGGTGCTGAGCAGCTAGCAAACTGCTTTGCCGGTACAACGTAGAGATAGCGGTTTTCCTTCTGGTTGCTAAATTGCCCTGAGCGTAGAAAACTTGCGAGAGCCAGGGGGGATGTGACATCGTGGTCCCAAGGGGTATGAAGGTGCGGGGGAAACGGAGGATCAATAGCATAACGGGGGGGTTGAGGAGTGTAGCAGCCCGGCACCCGGATGATACATCCTTGATCATCCTTGGCCCCCCTAAGAAATGAGATCCAAGACTGCCTACAGTATAGCAGGAGACCTGTTGGTATCGAGCACAAAAATACTCAGCATGGCCAACTGCGCCTGTTGCAATCGACCCAGCTACAAGTAGACGGAGCAAGGCACCGCCGCTTTGGGCACGGACTCCTCGAAGTCGAAGTCATCCCAGCCCTGGCCTGATTGTCACAGGCTGGGACCTGTTTTTATAACTTTTGACAACCACTGGTTGGGGGTTCTAGAATGTCGGGGGCGTGTCCAATGCCTTCGCTGTCAGCGGATGCAACCGCAGCCTTCGCTTTGGGCTCCTTGGCTCGTAGCAGTGCAATGCATGAGGACTTTGAACACAAAATCACAGAAATCCAGGATTCCGGAATTCTTCATGCTCTACCGCACTGCCGCAAACCCCACAACTTCACAAAGGAGCAGAACCAAGCCTAGCACTAGCCGAATACATCTGCTGCGGCCCTGAGAATCAGATCCAAGAATGCCTTTAGCAGACCTGTTGGCATCGAACACAGACACCCAACATGCTCATGGCCAACTGCGCCTGTGCGCTGGGCTGCAATCGACCCAGCAACAAGTAGACGGAGCAAGGCACGGCCGCTTTGGGCACGGACTCCTCGAAGTCGAAGTCATCCCAGCCCTGGCCTGATTGTTTCTCCAACTCTTGACAAGCTGTCGGCACAATGGGAGTTTGCACACATCGGTGATAATATCACACAGTAGGGATGCATTAGGAAGTGCCTGAATGAAATGCCATCAAATGCCTGCAGGGAATGATCCAGCACTGGTTGGGGGTGCTACAGTGCGGGGGCACGTCTACAGCTCGTGATGCTCGGACTGCCTTCGGTGTCAGCGGATGCCACCGCAGCCTTCTCCTTGGCGTGTGGCAACTTCAGTGGCTGAACAGCAACATGAATAACTGAGGTTCCCGGATGTCCCGGATAGAAGTCTGGGCACGGGCACTTCAAGGTCTGGGCAGGCTCACGTTTCCTGATTCGCACCTTTCTTCCCATGAAGAGGACATTTCGGATAGCTGGGACTGGCCTGCAACGCAAGCTTGGTAACATGTCGTGTCACTACGGTTCACCAACGGTCTCGGTGCTGATCTGCGAGAGACGTCGATCCACCAGCCTCCATACCAAAACTGTCAATCCAAATTCGGTTAGGGCACGGCTGCTTTCGGCACGGACTCCTCCAAGTCGAAGCCGTCCCAGGCGTGGCCTGGTTGTCAGAATGTCTACACCACCCAACAAGCACAGCATGTACCAAGCCTCGCGAACTTCCACAATGAACCCCCTCCTTCAAACTCCCAGATTAGCTAGTGCAGTACCCGATTGGGCTGCCAAATTCCGAAGTTTTCTAGTTTGCCTCCACTCTCGACAGGCGTTGCCTTTGTCGCAGGTTCCTTGGCTGAGATCAACTGCCTTTGACAGTCGTGCTTTGCGTGCCCGCAACTGCATCTGTTGGGAAGCATCCAAAGAATTGACGTGCCCTTTGATGTATCTAGGCACCGCCGCTTTCGGGACAGACTCCTCGAAGTCGAAGTCATCCCATCCCTGCCCTGCGCAAAGAAGCATCACCAAGAAGGCCAAGGATGGTCCATGACGCTCGGATAAACTAAGGAGACAACATGAGAAAACCAGATCGACCCCTCAGGGTCGCCTGCTGACGTCTCTTGCGGCATGCTTTTGACCGGCTCCTCGGAGGATGGGATATTGCCGAACGTCTCGCTACTGCAATGATCAGCTGTTGTCAGGCATTCTCAATTCTGGCAGCTTGGCAGCTAGATATTCTGCACGCACCTCCGGGCTGACCTTCTGGCAACTGCGTAACTTGGTCACCTGGACGGCCGAGGCAAAACCGATCGGCCCAATGCTTGCTCTCGAAACAAACCCCAGACGGTTAATTGAGTCGTAAGCCCAGCAGGACCAGCACGACCAGAGCCGAACGGGTGTGGACAGGCCAGGGCTTGAGGCGAGACACTTCGCCTAAAATTGCAGTTGACAAATAGCGCATCCCCAAAGACACAAACCCGCTCCAGCACGACTGTGGAAACAGTGAGAGTTTACGCGAAACTGCTTCTGCTACTGCTTGACGACGATGATGACGACGACGGCCACGACGACGACTACTACTGCTGCCACTGCTGCTGCTACTGCTGCTGCTGCTGCTGCTGCTACTCCTACTACTACTACTACTACTACGACGACGACGACGACGACGACTACTACTACTACTACCTGCCGCTACAACTTATACGACGACGACTAATGCGAAGTCTTGATTAATAACCCCGCCCCCCCGCGCAAGGTAGGTCAGCTGGTGGCCTGAACGCACCGCCCCCCCCCAAAAAAAAAGAAAAAAAATTGGCGGGTTTCACCCAACACTCCTTTCTTTTAGTTTTTAGTATGGCAGGTAGGGCTTTAAGGCTGGGGCTGAGGTCAGGCCTTTAGGGTTTAGGGGGTTGAGAGTTGAGGGTTGATGCTTGAGTTTCAGGGTTGAGGCTAGGGTTTTAAGGCTACGTTTCAGACTCCAAGTTCCTGAGCCTGGGCGCTTTGAGCTTTTTGGCCGAAACCTTAAATCGCTTAAGGTTGGGGCTTCGAGCCGAAACCCGCACCCTGAACCCTCAACAGTCAAACACAAGCAATAACAAAACACTATTGTTCTGCGGCGGTCGGATTATTCATCAGGGGGGGCTTGCCTTGCCTGGGCTAGGCCTTCGCAGGCTTGACAAACTGAGTGTTTTACATAGGCTTTTGTATTTAAAAATTATTGCTTGGCCACCTTTGGAACTTCTTCACTCCAGCCCTGTTTAACCGCTGAGGGCTAGGAGCCCTAGTTCCAGAAACCCTATACCCTGAAACACCTAAACCCTTAAAAACCCTGAACCCCTAAACCTTCAAACCCCTAAAGCCTGAACCCGAAACCTTGAAACAAGAACTGGTCGGAAGGAGCACTGGCTCCAAAGACCCTCAAGCGTAAACCCCTGAACCCTTGGCTGGGGGCAGAAGGTTGCCATTAGTCGAGGAAGGGGGGCCTTTTGACACATGGTTTCAGCCAGGTCCGAGGCCCGCGCGGGATGCCTTTAATCACGGGGGGGGACATTACTACTACTGTTCCAACAACGGTTTGCTCGCAACGATTTGCATGATTTTGCATGGCATGTATGACCACGTATGTCAGGACTGCTATACGGCTATGTGCCTTAACCTATGCCTATGCGCATAGGCGCCTACGCATACAAGCCCGTGATGCCGACTCCGACTTCTGTACTCCTATACTCCTGTAATCCTACGCTCCTATACTCTCAGGCTTCAATACGCCTATACTTCTACTCTCCCATTCTTCTCCTACTCTTGCTTCTACTTTTGCTGCTGCTGCTATCACAAGGCTTGATACTCTTACTTCTACCACTTTGTGACACTGCTTACATCGCTTTTTCTAAACATCCCGAATGCAACCTACCATGCGAAGTCAGGCCTCAAGTTCCAAAGCCGCCAGCTGCGCAGCCGACGCTGCATGCGCCTCGTCGGATCTGAGCCTGACAGGATTTCAGCACTCACAACTGGGACAAGCCTGGCGAGGTTCCAAGTACGACGAGAGCACATTGGCCTGACAGGATTTAGGGGAGGTGGCGGGCAGGGAAGGGTTCGTCTTCTTTACAGCCTCTGGCACATCCGGGCTGAACGGGGAGAAGGCGACTGTCCGATTGCAGGTGCTGTGTAGACGATGGAGGAGGCTGGTCGTGCAGCAATGAGAATGACTTTCAGTGGCGGCAACAACAACAACCACCACAGCGGCAATAGCAACCTCAGTAGCTACAGATCAGGCTGCAGCACGCCAGCTCTAAAAACCCAATTCGGAATTCGTTTGAGCACGGAGTGGATGGACTGCCGGCTGTCCTCACTCTAAACCGGCTTGGGCTCTGTATTTTACCAAGCGAGCGTGCCCCTCCTCGTAGCATAGTCCAACACCGGCATACGCAATTCCCCTCCAACGAGGTGCTTGCCGCAACTTACTATGAAAGCGTCAGTGTGAGCAGGTGCCTCTCCCCGTGTGTGTAGATGTCACGTAAAACACACTCGAGTTCTCGCAACAGCCTAGCCGAGCCACTTTATCACTACGACGTGATCCATCACCGTGGCCTTCTGCAATGCTGTATCCCAAACCAAGGATGTCAGGATAAAGTCCGCACTAGTAATTTTCGGAGTAGGATTCCCGTGCGGCGAGAAGGCATGGGAGATGTGCAACCCTTGCGAAGTTGTGCTTGAGGCTGTGACCTAGGCGATTACACTTCTGAGCCTGCCTTGCCGCCTCGGCGGCTGACAGCTGCTCCTACGAGTAGTGCCGGGTGCGTCCAAAGAAAAGACAAATTGTAAGCGCACAAACTGGTCCGCTAATTCACTGCTGCTGCTGCTGCTGCTGTTTATGGGATTGGTTCCATCGTCCTCCAACGTGCGCACGCGCTCCCCTTGTTCTTGGAGGCGTTTGGCCTGAGCGACACGCTCCGCTCAGCCTTTACTACACAATGTGGCCCTGGAGCCTCCAGTCTTGCTTTCTCTGCTTCTTCGGCGGCTTGCTGCTTTGTCAAGGCCTGACAGAGCGAATAAAGCGAGCCCCTAATTCCCCAGGTTGCCCCAGGCCATGTCATTAACATGCATCAACCATTATATAATATGTAATCATGTACTCGGCACTGCACAGTGCACGATGGTTTTCGCTTGATGGCCAAATATCTGCAACCCTTTTGGAGGCCTGGTCTCAGGCCGGCCCCCTCAAAACAAAGGCTAGAAATTAAGAGGCTGCGGTGGTGCTACTGCTACTGGATCTGCACACAGGACTTGTGCCAGCTTCACCCCAAGCCTGCAGTTGTGCTTCCTCTGCTTCTTTTGCAGCTTTCTGCTGCTCTGCTTGGGCCTGGCCACCCGCAACTGAAGCAGCAAAACTGCAAGCCCCAAAAAATCCATGTGGTCTCACTTCTGTAGGCCTGCTTCTTGGCTTCTTCAGCCTGGCGGAGGACCTTAGCACGTAGTTTATCCCCTGCAAGGCCCGCGCAACGCTCGGAAACCGCGCCAAGCCACATCTTGAGTTTGGATGAGCTGGCCCTCTAGCTCAACAATTCGAGCCTGCCAGAATGAGCGGCATCACTGAACCGCTACACACGGCCGCATAAACAGGCACGGCATTGCCTGCAGCGCGTCCGCTGTGGCTTTCTCATCACCGTTCGTCCCCTGGCCATGCACTGTGGGGTGGCATGGTAAGTCGTGCGCTGAAACTTTGCTGAAACTCTGTCCAAGAGCAACTGCTGTCGTAGGAATGCTCAAATATGCTCAACGTCAAACAGTCCCGACCCTGCAATAGAATAAATCGTGCGCATCGGCATCCTGGGCAAGGTCGTCAGCCATGCCGACCTGTGGACCGCCCGTATCCTCAGAGCATGATCTCAATGGCAACTCTGCCCGTTGAGCCAAAACTCAATTTCAACCAACGTGTTCAGCAAATCATCCAACCGCTACCTTTGAGATAAGCTGCTCCCATCGTCAGGCCGACATCTCCTTTGCAAAGATCCCACACAACTCTGAAGCAGGGCTCGAGAGAACCACAAACATCGCCATGCCCGTGAGTCGAGTGGCCCAGATCCAGCTCGTTAGTCCAACCATCCACACCTCGTGTTGCTCACATGCAAATCGATTTGGTGATGCTTCGTACTATCGTGAGGCACACCCACCCATCATTTCTCACCGCGCCTTCGTTTTCTGCCTCTGCAGCAAGTCCAGTGTCAACTTTCGTTGCCTGTGAACGCCACTGCAGGCGGGCTAACAACAGAAACTTGGATGCCAAGAACCTGGACTTTATTGCGCTCTTGAGGACGACCACAAGCAGCTGTTGAACTACCATGTGCAGAATGTCGCGCTTTTACACCCAGAGCCAGTGTTGCCAGTTGTCGAAGCGCAGCCAAGTCGCAGTGGTGGTAGGAGCGGCGGCCTCCGTCTCAAAATCAAAATCGTCCCAACCGTCCGCACCTCCGACGCGTCAAAACATGAACTGGAAGTTTCGGCTCGATCTTAATTATGCAAGTGTGAACCTGCAGCCCCGCATCAACACAGCATCTATATAGATACATGGCTGAGCCAGCAGGCTATACTCAGCTGACATCTTCCAACAGTGCACTGCCCCATATTCTTCAGGAAGCTAAACTATGGGGCTTGATACAATGCGATCATTCCTTTTGATTTGCCTTACCATCCTTGGTCTCGATCTGTCTGGCTATGAAAAGCTTGAAACTACTGCAACATACTGAAACATGGTACTCCAGCTTAGGTGCTCCAAACTTGTGTCCGACTGCTGACTGCTCATGTCATTCGAAGATGGTTGTGTTGCATATTTCCGTGGTATATTATGATTGGAATCTGGTGACTGTGTTCCTGCCCTAGATTACAGCCAAGACGGCACTAGGGTCAGGGTCCACCACCGGCGATCATAACAACAACGTAATGCATTCTCCACCTTTGAAGTTTGTCATTAAGGATCAAAAGCCTCGTGCTTCGAGAATTGAGGTCGGTGACTTCGCTGTGTTTTTTTGAAGTCCTTTTGCTGGACCGGCAGTGCCTCCACTCACAGCGGGCGCTGCGCCAGCTGCGACAGCCGTCCCGGTTGCAGGGGCCTCAGACTTCTGGAGACTTGTGGCAAGGTGCCCCGCAGGCAAGCAACGATGTGCTCTATGGTTTCTGAACAAGCCACGATTGAGTCAGGCGTGACATCGTGTGGCTAGGGGTCGGAGTGAAGGTCATCTACAATCATGATTCAAGGTCCGAGCCACCTCGAGCTGCGCCAGCCTGGACCGCAGATGGGGCACCTGCCCAGCGGAGCAGCGGAGGCCGTGAAAATGATATGAGCGGTTGCTGTCTGACCACGGGGGGCAGCCTGTCCCGTCAGATGCCCGTCCGTCGGCCTCCGAAGCTTCGGACCGAAGCCGGTCCAACTGCTGCTGAAGCTCGGCCATGCCCGCGGCATCTTGCAAGGCAGCTGCCCGCTGTGCCTTGACACCACAGGGACGCTGGCTCTCGCCCCTGTCACAAGTGTGCACGGCTCGGAAATCGTGCCTCCGCCTCGGCGATCTGCACCTTCAATGCAGGCACCTCACGCAACGACTGCAAGCTGCTTTGCCGCAGTTGCGAACTTGCAATCAGCTCACGCTCCAGCGCACGCTCATGTTGCTGAATCACACTCAGCATTTGCCCTGTACATGCTAGGCATACCGTGTGCATCATGGATTGTGAATCGCTCTTTCCCTCGCAAAGGTCGGGTCGCCAAAACCTTCCTGTTCGATTGCTTCATGATTTGGAGGATGGTGCAGGAGCAAAGCTTGCTGTTGAGCAACTGTGCATCCGGAAAGGCCTCCAGATTGAGATGTTCAGGCTTTGGGGTGCAAGCTTCGAAGCTCCCGCTGTGCCGTCCATGCCGACAATCATGCTAAGTTGGATGACAAAGAAGAACGTTTCAGCGATTGAACATTGGGTCCTGAAGTTCTGAGATCGGGACCTCCAATGCTTCGGCTGTGAGTCTCTCGACTTCCAGCTGCAGCTTCTCGGCGGCTGCTTGCAATTCCGGCACCTGAACAGGCTTTCGGGTTCCCCTGCGCTGCAGCGGTTCGGGCCCTGCAGTCGGCCCAGCCTGGGCGATCTCGGACTTCAAACGGTTCACCTCCTCCTGCAGCTCTGCAGAACCAGCGGCATCTTGGGCGGCAGTTGCTCGTTGCGCCTCGCACACGGTTTTTGTTTGCCGGCAGACGTATAGGGATGCTTGCACGCAACGCTCAGTAGTTATGCTGCATGCCCACGGCCCACACCTCGCTGTCGGCCAGCTTTGCCTGTGCCGCCGCCGCTTCTGCGTGCAGCCGCTGAACTTCTTGCTGAAGTTGCTCCGCCGACGCTTGTGCTTTCAGGGCGGACTCGCGCTCCACCTGCAATCAAACTGCACAGCGTGCCAAGTTCGTGCTGCACTCCGCCGTCCAGACTCGCGTCTCCCCACCTCGAGCTCTGCAAGTCTGCTCCGCATCTCATGCGCCTGACAACCGCGCTCGATCACTCCGACATGGGAAGACTCGGAGAGGCACACAATATCTACATCTAAGGCTAGCCTGGTGTTCCATGTCTTCCAGAGCCTACTCTCCACAAGTTCGATTGAAGGCGGAAGCAATTTCTCGCGTGGCACACGCGTTCTGTTGGCTGTGTGTGCTGCTTCGGCCGGTGAAGGAAGGCATTGAGCCCGTGGCACTTCGCCTGAACTTGGGTGTTTTTTCTTTGCTTTGCTTGGGTGTTAGTTGTGATGTTCATCCTCTTCCTCTTTCTCTTCATTGTTATCTCGCAGGTGCTCTTGCGTGTTCTCTTTCTCTTGCAAGGCCCCCTGGCCCGAAAGCTCCATCTTTCTTTCTGCTGCGCGTAGGGTCGGTGTCCCCGACCCTCAGGCCATTGGCCCGCCCAACCAGCTTTCTATCTCTCCCTTAACCTACCAAAACCCACTTTTTTGTAGGTTCCTACTGTAAACCCTAATGTGGGATTTATAGGGACCCTACCAAAAGTAGGTTCTGGTGGGTTCAGGTCTCTCTATCTCTCTGGCATGGGAAGCTCCTGAAGCCGGGCCGAGGGACCTGGCCCTTGCTCTCTCCCTCTGCTCTGTGGCATGAGGGGCTGTGGCACGCATTCCCAAAGACTCCAATATCCCTTATTTAAGGAATATACCTTAAATTATAGTAGGATCCTGAATATTGTTTAAAGTATATTCCTTAATTAAGGGATATTGGATTCTCTGGGTTATTGAGTACGTAGCTACTTGTAGTTACTACGTACTCATCTACTGGCACTCACTCCTATACGCATACATGAAGGCATACTGAAACTCACTCATGTACATAATGCGTACCAGTATAACTTCATACGCGAAGACAAGACTGAATGCTGATTGCTGCTTCTTGACTCGATGAATCTCGATGACTAATCGTCGACCTCTGATATGCGTCCTGCCCGATGCTGGTCTTATCATTCAATCCGGATTTGGCCAACGAAACGGCCGTCTACACTTACGTAGCATTTTTCGAAAGCTCGAAAGCATTCGGCCCACCTGCGCAGCTTCGGACTTGAGCTTCTCCAGCTCGGCAGGTGCCACAGCCACTTCCGGCTGGGAGCCAGCAGGCTCCTGGGCTGTCACCGAGATAGTTGAGCTCAGCAGCTTAGAAACGTGGCCAATCACTCACGTCTGATCCGAACAATCAGGAATCTGCTTGGAGATGAGCTGCTCCCATAGCCAGCTCGGCTCCTTTGTCCAGGATGCCAACATGATTCGGAAGCAACGTGCACAGACCCAAAGGGCGGCAAACGTACTCATCTCGCACATGAGTCGAGTGGCCGAGGTCCAAGTCGTTTGCCCAGCCATCCCCACCTTGCGCCCACACGAAGCTACAAGGCGGAAACGAGCTGGTGCGGCGATGGGGGGCACTGTCGCTAAGATGTCGTGAAGACACACCTGACCGGACCTAACACCACACACGCGCGCATCTGGCCATGTGCTTTTTTCTTCACTTTTCGTATCCGGAGAGGTGAGGGGGGGTTGGGAGGGGGGATTGGGGGGGGCGGGGGGGAGTGGGGTGGTTACGACCCTGTTACACAAACCAACCAAAGCCCTGCTATTTACGGCGTTT